AATAAATAAATATAACTATAAATAGAAGTATACAAATAAATAGTAAAGAAAAATAACATAGAATAACATAAATAAATCATATATATATAGGAATTATATATATATTATATATTTATTATTTATTATTTTTTTTATTTTATTTTATTTGTATACTTCTATTATATTCTATATTTATTTATTTATAATAGATAGTGACTTCCACATGCCACTTAACGCGCGTCGTCGCCGCTCGTGTACGTAATATTCACCTTCGCCGGGCAAAGTTGTATCGGATCACGGACGCATGCAGTAGGGCTGACGACAGTTCTCCATGAGCGCCCTACCGTTGCTACTGGCCACTTGTCGAACTTGGCCTAGCAGTAAGAAAAACACCCAAGCAAGTCAGTAAGCACAATCACACTACAGTTGCGCGCACTACACCACACGCAGCGCACATACAGGCACAGCGCGCGCCACACAAACTTCACGCTACACACCACGAGCGAGGACAACACACCACCACACACTCACACACAGCCACCACAATACACACACACACACACACGACACACACACACACACACCGACACACTCGCACACACTACAACACACCACACACACACACAACACAGCACACACAACACACACGCACGACGCACACGCACCACAACACTCACAGCACACATGTTACAAGCACGACACACCACGACACACACAACACACCACACAACACACTACACACACACACTACACACGAGCACAACACACACACCGAGAGTAACACAAACGTTGGTTCGCAACTGTGTTCTTGAAGGCGTTATTTTATGTGTGGCTCATGAATGAAAACGTTTCCAAAACGGTTCGCCTAAAACGTTTCTAATTAATGGTATATTTACGTTATTTTAAAACGTTTTGCTAAGAGAACGCTCTCTGATTAGGGCGTTAGCTAAACTTAAGTGATAAGTAGAGTTATAACCTGTTAAGGTGATTAACAAATACGTTGCCGAGAAAGATCGTGCATCGTTATTATACGGTTGCTTTACCAACAGTTCTTGCCCAGAAAAAATGAACTTGTAACTAAGACCACTACGGGTCAATGGGAGGCCGAGGAAGTAGGGGTGCGCCCCCGAAGGGCGGCAATGGCGCCCGGACGTGGGATGGAACATTATTACCAATAAGGGATGCGAGCGGAGGGATGTCCCGCGGAGGATGCGGCCAAAAGGTGATGGAGTAGTGTGTCGAAATGGTTACCCTAAGAGCACCAGTTAAAAAAACCGAACGTTTTATTTACTGTTCTGCATTACCAAGCCTATGTGTAGGATTCCTGTGACAAACGTTTTACCTAATAACTAAGAATTTTAATTCAACATTTCCACGGCGCTAACGGCCAGCACACCATTACCGTTAAGCGGATGCGACGATCGGTGCCACACCGCACGCACACGCCACACCGCTCCTACAACCCATCAAAGGCCACACACACGTGCCGCAGAAACGCACACCACACGCACATACCACAAACACGACTCACACGCGCGGGCACGAACCGCACCATGCGCGCGCACTCACACCATACACAACATCACACAACACACCTGTTGTCGCTATATCGAGCACGTGTACGGCTAGATAACACTCCCTGCCGTTGAGATCGCCAACGCTCGGGGGTTGTCCGCCCGTCCTTTAGTATACGGTCACCAATCTAGCTGCGCATGCGGCGCCGTCTCACCTGCCCAGCAGACGCTCGCGCGTCCAACGCTGCTCGGTCTACGTCTATGACACAGCTCCACCTTCCTCCGATTCACTCGCACAACTACGCCTGCCAGCAGTGTCCTGCGCCTTACATGTTCAGCACTCTTCGCGCAAATACTTCCACTAATATTAGTTTCTATCAGCTCAAGCGGTAATACTCAATAATATCAATAATAAAAATAAACTACATTACTACACAAGTATGTAATATTTATCTATATAATATACTTGATAATAGTATAATTATAATAAAGTATTATTGAATTACACTATAATTACTATTTCGAACTCTATTCAACGTTACTATTATAACTTGATAAGCTGAGTTGATACTAATATTATATAATGTCGTGATTATATATATCATATCTATAACTAATATTATATTTATATCATAATATATATATACATAGAAGTATTATATATATACTATTGTACTTAATATCCGCATTTTTAGTGTAACAAGGCCATAAAGAGTTATAAACTTGCCTTATGTAACTATTATTCATTATATATATATATAATAATAATTATACTTATATAGTATTATGATAATCATGCCATACTTCCAGCATATTATAGCCATCAGTCGTGACACTGTCCTTACGCGTTATGAGCGGAGCTGCACAATTATACTTAAACACCGTCTGTTGACACGCTACGTGTTTTACATCAAGTCGTACGCCGCGCCACCTATTACGAATCACCTGCTCTTATACGCTCAATACTTATTCCATTGTATCCTCCCGCACCGCTATATTCTGCACTATTTCTAGTATACTGCACCTACTGCTCGACATTATGTGTGCCTGATAACACGCCACGTGTCGCCGCCTTGAGAGGGCTGAAGAGTACGAGGCCAGAGTTGCCCGTATCCTGATCCATGAGCCAGCACGTCTGAATCAGTTTCATCTTCCCTTAACACAGAGTGAGCAAACACAGTGCCCTCTCTTGCCTTTTCTGTATCACGCGATAGTCTTACGTTATCCAGTTCTGCTGCCCTTCAACACAGAAAATTACACAGGCGTTGTACAGCGCAGTAGTCTTTTACGGTTATCAGCTCCGCTGCCATTATATACCACAAAAGCCATCATTATAGCAACAGGCTGCTGTACAGGTGAAGTAGTTCTACCTGTATCAGCTCGATGCAAGCATAGTCGCAAAAATCAACTAGACAAGTACAGCGATAGTAGTCTTACGGGCTGCTCGGGCAAGGTTTCCGCATAACCTTCGCCGGCCAGGCGGCGAACGAGATGCGGCGCGGACCTATATATATATAGACTGAGGAACTCTGGGCATGTCCGTAGCGAGCGTATAGCTTCCTTTAGCGCTACCGCATTTCTTTTCTCTACGATGACATTCGCACACGAAAGACGTACGTTTTCGTTCGCGATTCGGTGAATCGAAGGGAATCAATGAGAAAGGAAACCCCTCTGCCGGACGATGTGGTTTATCCGCTATTGGAGGGTCGTGTCTGTTGACTATTATCGCAGGCAATACAGCGTGAGAAGCGGTATTGCAATCGCTACACATCCCGTAGTGTGATGACTGCACGTACAAAGTCTGATTATCTACAAAATGAATCACTGTAAATCCTTGAATAAGTTCATTCGGTTGGTTGATAATTTAGAGATAACTTGGTTGATTTCTACTCAACCGTGAGGTTCAAACGTACCTTCTAACGTTTCGCGTCCTAACCGAAGGCTTTTTCAAAGCACTGTAGTTCTTGATAATTCTTCCGCTATATTAGATTCCAAACCCGTCCAGCTATTCTTAGTCACGTTATTTCCGTAGTCGCATGAAAAATTGTTAAAGCCGTAGCTAACGAGGATGGGAGGAGCAAGGGGCACCCAAACAAATGTAGATACTATCAAGAGTAAAGAATCACAAAAATAAAAAAACAATTTGAAATTATTTTCTCCTGATAGTATTACATGGTCAATGCCCAATGACTACGGTCAACTACTCAGAACACAATTTAACTGCGGGTGGACTGAAAAACTTTGTTTTGAACACAAAAACCTGCATAATGCCGTAGCTACGGCCACGGTTGTGAAAATCTACCGCTAAATGTGAAAATGTACTTGATAATCAGCGATGAATGATTGTTTTCCGCTTGTAGTTTGAGAACGGTACGTTTGAGCTTCGCATCGAGGGAGACGATGGTATATTCTACCTACAGCCTCGCATCGTGCAGAACGAGGCGAACGTTCTCATCCGAGTCGCTCGACCCTCGAAACTCGATTACGAGAATCTCACACAGATCGACTTCGATGTACGTATATAGAAAGCGAGCAGATCTCGATGGGCAAACAAAATAAATTTAATTTTGTTGATTTAATCGTGTTATATTTAATAAAATGTTTTTATTTAAATGAAAATGTTTGTTTCGGTGATTTTTATCATTATTTTGTCAATTAGTAGCGTATTTTTAATCTGGATTTACCGCGTCAAGGTACCGGATAGTAGTCAATGTAGTGTGCGTGCTAAGTTTTGCTTCAAGGCGAATGCATTAAACCGACTAGACCGTTCGCTCACTCTGTAATATTGAGGTGAATTTCTATAGCGTTTTCGAAGCGTTCGAATGTTTCCGTGTTCATGGTGTGCGTGCGCCAACATGTGCTTGTTTTCGTGCGTTCGCGCGTGCGTGTTTGCATGTGGGCGGGCGTGCGTGCGTGCGTGTATGCGCGTGCGTGCGTCTAGGCGTATGTATATGCATCGCGTGTTCCGGCGGTTTTCACACAGCTAGGCATTTCCATCCAGATGCCAGCACGTACTACCCACACCCAGGGCCGCAAAGACATCACCAATGAACTGTAACACCCCTCCCCTTGTACACGCCTCATCAGAAACCTCACATGAACGAGCTCTCCTCGCCTCCTTCCAGATCGTTGCCATAGAAACGAAGACCGCCGAACAGCACAGCAGTCGCTCGAGGGTCAGCGTCCACCTGGTGGACACCAACGACAACTTTCCGCAGTTCACGCTAGCCCACTACAACGCGTCGGTGCGCGAGGACGCCACGGAGGGCACCACCGTCGCCTGGATCGAGGCGACGGATGTAGATACGGGAGATGGAGGTGTCGTGTATTACTACCTGCTCGGTGCTGGGCGTAGTCACTTTGAGATCGACGAGCTGACGGGGGAGCTGAGGGTGGCTGCCGGGGCAAAGCTGGACCGGGAGACTGTCAGCACTTACTACCTCACTGTGGAGGCAAGAGATGCGCGGGGACACGGCAATAGGTGAGGCTGATGGATGGGAGGGATGGTGGGTGGCGAGGGATGCGCGGGGACACGGCAATAGGTGAGGCTGATGGATGGGAGGGATGGTGGGTGGCGAGGGATGCGCGGGGACACGGCAATAGGTGAGGCTGATGGGGTGGGTGGGTGAATGAGTCAGGGTCAGGATTGTTGTTTTTATTTTTACGGTCATGGTTAATTAATGTCCGGGTCACGTTGTCTTTAGTGTTACGGTTATGACTAGGGATAGGGTTAGGGTTAAGTTGCGTTTATTTTTGCCGTTACGATTGCGGTTATGGTTGGATCGCATTAGCTGCGATTGTGGTTACAGTTAGCTTTAGGGGTAAGTTGTGTTTATTGATACGTTCATGGTCAGAGTTAACGTTAGAATCGGGTTGTGTTTATTGTTGTGGTTATTGGTATAATTATGGTTGGAGCTACAGTTATTGTTAGGGTTAGGATTAGGGTTAGGATTAGGGTTGGGGTTGGGTTCAGGGTTAAGGCTCAAGTTATGGGATTGGGTTTGGGTTCAGTTGATGGAGGCGAATTCATGGGCTGTTTGACCAACAAATTTTTAGTTATTAAGTTTTAAGTTTGAGTTTATTAATAGTATGTTTACAGAAAATACACATATAAAGTTCAGTTATACAAATCTGTAATTGTATGATAAGCACATGCTTGTATACGGTATATAGTTCTACATGTGTGATTGTATATTGCAGGAACATCACACACCTGTATAAGGTATATAGTTCGACACCTGTGATTCTATATTGTAGGAACAGCACACAGCTGGAGGTGGCGTTGACGGATGTGAGCGACAACCCGCCTGTGTTTGAGTCAACTCTCTATGAAGGCTTCCTCATTGAGAACGATGAGGCTCCTCCAACGTTCAGACGCACCTTTGTTGTCAAGGTAACCCAAAGTACGCACACGCGCGAGTACGCACGCACGCGCACACAAGCACGAACGAACGAACGCAGACACACACACACACGCGCGAATACGCACGCACACACGCACACACACATGAACGCCCGCGCGCTCGCACAAACACACACAAACACACACACATACACACACGCACGCAACGCGCGTACGCACACACGCACGAACGAACGCAGACACACACACGCGTGCGCGAATACGCACGCACACACGCACACACACACATGGACGCCCGCGCGCTCGCACAAAGACACATACACACACATACACACGCACACACACACACACACACACACACACACACACACACACACACACACACACACACACGTTTAGCGTTTACCACTTGTTCGTGGAGGCTTCAGCTTAACGCGTGCTTGCTGCACATTTCTTGCTCACACGTCTCTTGTTCGCAGGCGACAAGTAAAGATCAACCCCCGATCAGCGATATCAGTTACTACATCATAACTGGTGATGACAACGACAGCATCGCCATCGACCAAACGTCAGGTGAGTCACACGTCATCAGCTGATAATAGCGTAATAAAATATGCACACGTTTACACATCAGATCTTATTGTTTTATGATAGTTAGCTTATAGTAGCCGAAAGACACTCTTTCTGACTTCTTTTCTGAATATGTAAATATATTCTTGAATTATAAATTATTTTTTTTACATTCATGAAAGGTTTTAACGTTTTAAATATATATATCAGAAGTAGATAATAGGGAAGGAGTGTGACTTCAATAAACATGGGAAATTCGTTATTTACTAGCCTTAGAATACCTACGATTTACTACGCGTAACTCATCCAACTTGAGCTCAAATCGTACACAATACATTCGCCTAGCATCGTGCGAAATCGTTTCCTCGTTTACACAAGCAATCCGGAGATACAGACTAAAACGTACGACACGATTATCCATTCTTTGGCCATCAATCCAAGCCTATTCCCCGCCTCTATTCAAACAAAAGGCAGCTACCTAACGCGCTATTGCTAACTCGGCGAGGCATGTGGCTCGCTGGGAGATTGGAGCTGGAGCTGCTGCTGATTGCGGTGGGCGTGCGTGCGTGGGGGCATACCAGCTGTAAATAGGTCAAAGATTAGCTCGCCGAGTGTTGCGTCGATGTCCAATCTCCCAGCGAGCCACACCGCATCGCCGAGGGCACAAGAGTGCGCAAGAGTCGTTAGTAGCTGCCTATTGTTTCAAGTTAGGCGGGTTATGGATTCGGTTTGCTGGCAACAGAATGGAGAATCGTGTCGTACGTTTCAGTCTGTATCTCCGGATTGCGGGTGTATACGAGGAAACGGTTTCGCACGATGCTAGGCGAATGTAGTGTGTACGATTTGAGCTCAAGTTGGTTGAGTTACGCGTAGTAAACTTACACATGCATGTCCACGTACACGCCAGTACGCCATGTTACACACACAACACACACACACACACGCCACAACACACACGCACACACGTCACGCACGCACGCACCCGAGCACAGCTCACGCACGCACGCACGCACGCCCACGCCACTACACACACAGGCAAATGCACCCACACACACAGACGCACAGCACGCGCCGCGAGACTACGGCACGCACGCACGACACAGAGTCAACACACACCCACACACCACACACACACACACACGTACCACGCACGGAGAGAGAGAGGGGGGAATAGAAGCGGGAGATATCATACGCGCTGAAAGGGGAGGGGTGTGAGTGTGTTTTCTCTGCGCATCATGGCGAACTTGTAACGTTTCCAATGATAAAAATTGAATAGCTTAACTAAACACGAATGTATTGTACTATCAAAGTCTATATTGTTTCTCTACTCTCTCTGGCTATTATTACAAAAAATTTCCTGTGAAATGCCGTTCAAATGCTTCTCTGCCCAACTCGCAATTTTGCCGCATGCACCGTGTGCACAGACACACAGAATTCTCTAATATGTCTGGACTCTCTATTTCTGTTGTTTCTGCACAGCGGCGTGTGGCGGTGAGGTTGCGTGGTTTCGCAAAAGACCC